AGAGTTCCCCTGGCGAATACGGCGCTCGATGGCCTTCTTTAATGTGATGCAATCGTCGGTGTTGTGCGACGAGTTCTTGTGGAACCGGCAGTATGTGCCGCCCTGCTGGATGGCAAGGATCTCCTCGGCCGGCCGAGGAGCCTGCTCGATGAGGCCGTGCTTCTCGGCATAATCGAGGATGGTGCCGACCGGGTGGCGGAGGGTTACCCCCGGCCGTTCCAGCCTCGGCCGCCAGTGGCGGTCTTTCTTACTCTGTCCACCAGAGCCGTGGCGGCCCTGGGCACCCTGGCCGGCCGGGGACGGACCCGGAGCCGGCGAAGGATTTGTCTTCTTGGGGGGATGGCCCCCCTCTCTCTTGTGATTGTGGAGTTCGTCGGCGTCGGCATACAAGCCTCCGCGCTGGAGCGCCTTGGCGTACGACCTCGGGGGGTCGGTGATGAGGCTCCTAGCGTACGGGGAGCTGCGGAGGGCTCCCTGGTACAAGGCGAGGAGGGTGCGCTCATCGGCCCCCTCGACCTCCTCGGTCTCCCTCGTCCACCGATCGATGAATGACCGGAGGGACTCCTTGTGCTGCTGCTTGACGGAGAGGAGGTGGGTGAAATACTTCTTGGCGCGCTTCCTTCCGGCAAAGTGAGTGAGGAAGCGCTGGGCGAGATCCTGCCATGAGTCAATGCTTCCTTCTGGCAGTCCGTTGAACCACTCGTACGCTGGCCCCTCGAGAGTAGAGAGGAACCGACGGCAGAGGTATTCGTCGGACGCGTTCACCATCAGCATGTTGTTCTGGTAACGGCTGAAGTGCTCCTGGGGGTCTGACCGGCCATCGTAGGACTTGATGGCGTTCCCCCTGTACTTCTGGCGTTCCCTCTCCAGGGCGCTAACTTTGTTCATGAGCGCGTTGAGGCCGGGGTCGTTGGAGGCGCCGGCCGTAGGGATGTTGGCCGACTGCTTGGCCTCCATCTGAGCCAGCCTCCTTTCCAGCTGGGCGATGACCTCGTCCCGGGGGTCCCTGTCGGCCGCAGCGGCGCCCGGCTGGTTCCTCAAGCGCTCGTTGTGGGCCGCGTTGATCTGGTGACGCACGTCATCCTCGTGCAACTTCCCCTTGCCCTTGTCCGGGCAGGGCTGGTCCGCTGTCCGGGACACAGACCCCAAACTTTCCCTTGGCGAGCCAGGACGAAGATCACCAATCCGTCCCGCCATCCTCTCCGAAACCGGACGACGGCGCGTGTCACCTAGCCTATTGAAGGTAGAGGCTTTTCCACGCGCTGGGGTCTGCCCGGGCCGAAGAGGGGAAACAGGGTGGGAGTGGGACGACGCCGTGTCCTGGGCCACAACCCCCTCATTGTTGCCTATCTGGACGGCCAACGGTTGAGGATGAGGAGGTGGAGTGACGTTTCCCCCGGTCCTTGGCAAGAGTGCGCTGAGGACGGTGGGGTTCTGAGCTAGGCTGTCGATGATGACCGACAGCGCGGCCTGGACCTGTGGATCCACGGACGGAGAGGCCACGGCCATAGGCTGGGCCGGGGCGTGATCCGTCTTTTCAGCTCGCTTCTTGTCCAAGCCGAGGCGGGCATCAGGGGCGCCGCCGTTGAGTTGGTTGCGGAGGTCCGTTGTGAGGTTGAAGGCCTCCTGGAAGAGGTCCCCTCCGCCGACCTGGTCGGCCGTGGCGTCCTCATCGTGCTCCCTGGGCTCTTGGTCCTCAGGGATGGCTTTGCTGACGAGGTTGCGGTTTGACTTAGTTCTCCCCATGATCAGTGGTTAGCTGTGCTTGGTAGCGACGAAGGGTGCTAACTTGATTGTTCTAGCTCTCAATGAAAGCACCAAATGATAGAGTATATCTAGAGAGAAGTGAGAGCTAGAGAGAGAAGTGCAATAATATGCTTCAATAGAATGATTTTGTCCCCCCTATAACTACTCCCAAAGGGAGTATTTATAGAGAAAATTAGGGTTGGGCTCCCAAGCCTTGGGCTTGGGAGGCCCATTTACAACTGGACCGCTACTGGGCCGAATACAAAGCCATTAATGGGCTGTACAAATGAGTAAGTGTAAAATCCGATTCTGGGAGGTCTTCTTGGCCGACGAGGGCGTGGCCGACGAGGGCGTGGCCGACGAGGGCACGGCTGACGAGGGCACCCGGGTTCCTTGGGCTCGGGACCATAATCCGAGTTGGCTCCTTTTCGGCCGACGGGGGCGTCTTGGCCGACGAGGGCGCCACTCTGTTGTCTTGTGCTCTGTTCTTCCGAGTATGTGGGTCCTGGGGCTCAGACCCATATACTCCATCAAGTATCATGACCTCTGCTCCCATGTATATAATTTAACTTATATGTGAATCTAATATTGTAGTTTTGAAATATGCATTAATATGACATTTTAAAATGAGCATAAACATGTACAAGATGAGCATAAGTAACTTACAAAATGAGCATCGAAAAAATCAAAAACTCATTTAAATTCTCTAATGTGTTAAAATGTTCGTGTGTGCATATTTATTTTACACGTTTCATATAACACAAAACTCATGTTAGTGTTTTTTTTTAAAAAATAATAATAAACTCATGTTAGTAATTAATACGCAATATATAATAACTAATAAATATTTATCTTAAAATAAAAAAATAAAACATTAATACCTAAAATATTTTATAATGCACAAAATAAATAAATTAAGTTAGAATGTTGGTTGAAAAAAGAAAAAAAACTCTAACATTGTATTAATATTTTATATTATACATTTTCATAATAATTGAATTAAAAATTAAAGCTAGAGAAGAATGTCGGCTATTACCCTCTAATTTAGAGTTAATTACAAAAATGTCGGTTGTACCATGCCTTTGGTATGGTCGGCCGAATGATGTAATTTATCATTTATAGTGGTTGAGATGCCAAAATGTTAAAAATGGACTCTGCTCATTGAAAACGGTGTTTAGGTTCTTATTTTTCTGCATCACAACCTCCTCAATAAAATACACTCAACATTTTTTTACATTTAAATTTAGTAAAACATTAATTAAATTGTTCTGAGTAATATTTCCATTTAACTTTTTCCCCCGAATAATTATGAAATAAAAAATACACATTTTGATGTAACAATAAATAAATTTCAATAAAAAAATTCAATGTTTTTCGGTTAACAAAAATGTACTTAGTTCAAGTAAAGTTCGATTATGAAATACTCAGTTATTTGTGAAGGTTTCATGAATCAAAAATTTGTGTTTCGTGTTTTTTGGGCTCAAGAAAACTTCAACAGTTAAAATTTGAGATTATTTTCATTTTATATATTACATAACATATTGATGTCATATCAAAGATCATAAAAATTAATGAATTTTGATGTATTTTTGAAAGGTTTGGAAAACAAAAAAAATGTCATAAGAGTTTAAAACAATTTGGGATTATAATGACGTCTGTGTGGAACCCGTAGTAGCCAGCCCTCTTTTCCTTCTTTTTTTCTTTTCCCATGTAATCCCGCCCTCTATTTTAAGTATTTTTAGAATTAATTACATATTCATGATTAAAATGAAAACTTTTTACAAATATGTGTTTACTAAAATTAAGTTACTATAACACTTATAGTCATATTTTTGTAAATAATTTTTATTTTAGTTATATTTATGTAAAAAAAAACCATATTTTTGCTCCTCATCCTCTTTCTCGTTTAATCCCCTTTTTAATCCTCCACTAAACCGAATTAATAGTAAAAGAATTCCATCTATCATGTTTTGACCCCTAATCCTACACCATCTAAAAAGTTTCGCTATTCCCCCATGTACAAATACAATACACCCGTGGAAGTGGAAGCGACTATACCTTTGAATATCTCCCACTTATGTATGTATGAAGCAAAAACAAAATTAAAGACAAAAGTTAGAAAAAGAGAGTAATGCACGGTCGCACGCAGAGAAAAACTTACGAACAAAGCTGGGAAGAAATATTGACAACAACCTTTTAAATTAGAAACAATTACAAAAAATAATCAGGTGTACGATGAACACTGTACACTCAGACATACAATATAATTTACGAAGAAGTATCGGTGCAAAGGATATTTTAAAATAGTACTTGATGGATTACCGACCTGGGAATAGCCAGAATCCGAGAATATGGGAGAGACCGAAAAGTAACAACAAGTTTGCAAAGAGAATTTCGGATCACTTTCCTCAAGCTGGAAAGTGATATTTATAATGAGGGAGAAATACTTGGCCAACAAGTAAAATGATGATATTCTATTGTGGTGAAGACACGTGTCACACTTGTCTAACAGAATAAATGTGCTGGTCTAATGGTATGACGACGCGTGTAAAGGTGATTGGAGAGATAATTAGGACAACTGACTGATTGGTACTGTGTGTAACAGAATTGTACCAGAACACACGTGTGCCATCCATATTATTCTTAATACCTAATTGTCGGAGTGATGTGGCCTCCGCATAGCGCTGGTGACGTGGCGGTAGCTTGCGCGATACTTGATTGTTGAAATGTCTAAGTCCACATTTGGTTAGTCAGACCCCGAGCTCTATGAGGTCAGAGCTCGGGCACAGTGAGCTTATTCAAGAGGATTTTATCCTGGTCTCCAGTTTGCCTGGTGGTGGTCATTTCTTTATATTCGTTGATTCCCGTTGACTTGTGTCTGTGTTCGAGCTCAGATCTGATACCGACCTCGGTGTGCTCGAGATCGACCTCAGATTTGGCGTTATCCTGGTGATCTGAGAGTCCGGTGTTGCGCCGATCTCGGGTGGGTCGAAGTCAACCTCAGCAGAATACTGACTTAGCGTTTCTGGAGACTTCCTTTGCATGTGAATGTTTGATACCCGTGGAGTATACGATAATATACTCCATCACTACGAATATAATTTTAAATATGCGTGAAGTTATAAACTCAAACCTATCAAAATTTACAAAAGTTTAATATATTCTAAATAATTGACGTGACAAATCAAATATTATACGGAGTACATAGTAATATGCACTTTAAAATGGTACTTGAAAAGTTTTGGTGCTCCCCCGTGGAAATGGAAGCGACTGTAGCTTTGAATATCTCCCACTTATCTTTCTTTTCATCCTTTTTACCTCAAACTGAATCAAAAGGATATACGACCAACACATGTGGGGGACCGATCCCCAACCCACTCACCTTGCATAGAAAAGTACTCCCCATCTTCCTCCCCAATAGCCCCCCTTTCCGCCGTGTCCTACCTCCGCCTACCGTGACAGTGGCCGCAAAATCAGAACCGCCTCCACACCATCTCTGGAATCACCGCTCCGAGGATGGCGAGGCTTGTGGTAGAGGTGCTGGAAGCAAGTGATCTCATGCCCAAGGATGGGCAGGGCTCCGCAGATCCATACGTGGAGGTGGAATTCGATGGGGAGCGCCAGAAGACGAAGGCGAAGAACAAGGATCTATGCCCTCACTGGAATGAGACGCTTGTTTTCAGCGTCAATAATCCCTCCGTCTTGTCCACTGAGACCATTGAGGTATGTGTCTATAGTGCAGTTAAAAATGGCCTTAACCCCAAGTTTCTTGGCAGAGTTAAGATTTCTGGCGTTTCTGTTCCATCTTCTGAGTCTGAAGCTGAAATCCAGTCATACCCACTTGATAAAAGGGGCCTCTTTTCTCATATCAAGGGTGAAATTTCGTTGAAAGTCTATGTTTTGCCGGGTCTGGGTACTAATAATCCCGGTCCTGACCAGAACCCCCACCACCACCTTCCGCAGCCCCAGGATTTGAATTTTGAGACTGAAACGCCGTTCAGCACTGATGGTGCGGGCGGCACAGAAAGTAGAGATATCCCTCTCCCTCCACCCCCATTGCAAGAAACCAAAACCATCAACTCGTTCAATGACGAGACTGAATTTAAGAAGAAGAATAAAAAGAATAAGAAAAAAGAAGCACCGCCACTAAGGACCTTTTACTCCGTGGGTACAGGTGGTGGTCAACACCCTCCGCCCCCTCCTCAACCGGCAATGGCTATGGTCCAGCCCCGTGTAGATTTTATGAAAGCAGGGCCAATGCCACCTAGCTCAATCCATCAGATGCAAGTGCCACCCGGTCAGAGGCAGGAATTTGGGCTGGTCGAGACTAAACCTCCTCTTGCTGCAAGAATGGGTTATTGGGCTGGGAAGGACAAGACGGCATCCACTTACGATCTGGTGGAGCAGATGTACTTCTTATACATACATGTGGTCAAGGCAAGAGATTTGCCCGTGATGGATCTCACGGGTAGTCTCGACCCGTACGTTGAGCTCAGAGTTGGGAATTACCGGGCCAGGACAAGGCACTTCGAGAAGAACCAGAACCCTGTCTGGAACGACACTTTTGCTTTCGCCAAGGAGAACATGCAGTCTAACATCATTGAGGTGGTCGTGAAGGATGTAGATTTCCTGAAGGATGATTTCGTGGGGAGAGTTGCATTTGATATCATGGAAGTTCCACTTAGGGTTCCCCCAGACAGTCCCTTGGCTCCTCAATGGTACAGACTAGTGGGTAAGAGAGGGGAGAGGATCTTCCAAGGAGAGATCATGCTTGCTGTTTGGATGGGTACGCAAGCTGACGAGGTCTTCCCAGACGCTTTACACTCCGATGCTTATGGGATTAGTCCAAGCAGCTTAGCGAACACGAGATCCAAGGTGTATTTCTCTCCCAGACTCTTCTATCTAAGGGTCCATGTCATCGGGGCCCAAGATCTGGTCCCTGCGGACAAATCGCGAATGCCGGAGGCGTTCGTGAAAGTGCACCTTGGTCATCAGTCAAGGGTCACTAGACCCTTCCAGAGACACATTAATCCGATGTGGAACGAGGAGATCATACTCGTGGCTTCCGAGCCTCTAGATGAGTTCTTAACAGTAGATGTTTTCGACCGGGTTGGGCCTGGTAAGGATGAAGTGATCGGGCGGGTGATGATACCGGTCAGAGAGATTCCACCCCGTGCGGGGGAAATCAATAAGCTTCCTCCTCCCAAGTGGTTCAACCTCCAGAGGCCTTTCCTAGGAGGAGGAGAGGATGACGACAAGAAGAGAGAAATGAGATTCTCAAGCAAAATCCACCTCGTCCTCTGCATGGATGTGAGTTACCACGTTCTTGACGAGTCGACTCATTTCAGCAGCGATCTTCAGCCGTCCTCCAAGCTGATGAGGAAGCCTAGTATTGGGATTCTAGAACTGGGTATTCTGAATGCCCAAAATCTGCAGCCGATGAAGGGCAAAGACGGTAGACTCACGGATGCTTACTGTGTGGCAAAGTATGGGAACAAATGGGTACGGACGAGAACGGTCCTCAACAACTTGAGTCCCCGGTGGAACGAGCAGTATACTTGGGAAGTGTTTGATCCTTGTACTGTCATAACAATTGGCGTGTTTGACAATTGCCAAATCCACGGGAAAGAGGATCCGAGGGATCAGAGAGATCAGAGGATTGGTAAGGTGAGAATCAGGCTATCAACTCTTGAGACCGACCGTATCTACACCCATTTTTACCCGTTGCTTGTCCTTCAACCACCGTCTGGCCTGAAGAAGCACGGTGAGCTCCATTTAGCCGTACGGTTCACTTGCACAGCTTGGGTCAACATGGTGGCTCAATACGGACGACCATTGCTTCCGAAGATGCATTACGTGCAACCGATCTCGGTCCGACACATCGATTGGCTTCGCCACCAGGCGATACTCTTGGTCGGGGAAAGGCTAGGCAGGGCAGAGCCTCCCCTTAGGAGGGAGGTGGTTGAGTACATGTTGGATTCGAACTACAATGTGTTTAGCCTCAGGAGAAGCAAGGCTAACTTCTTTCGCATCATGTCGCTTCTCAACGGGGTTTCAGCAGTCTGTAGATGGTACTCCGGGATTTGCTACTGGAGAAACCCGTTCACGACCATCCTTGTCCATGTCTTGTTCTTGATCCTCGTATGCTACCCGGAACTCATCCTCCCAACGGTTTTCCTCTACTTATTCGTGATCGGGCTATGGAACTACAGGTTCAGGCCACGGAACCCGCCAGCGATGGATGCGCGGATTTCACAAGCGGACACCACCAACCCGGATGAGTTGGATGAGGAGTTCGACACGTTCCCGACGTGTCGGCCAATGGAGGTCGTAAGGATGAGGTACGACAGGCTGCGGAGCGTGTCGGGGAAGGTGCAGAGTGTGATTGGGGATTTGGCTACTCAAGGGGAGAGAGCTCTATCCATATTGAACTGGAGGGATCCCAGGGCCACAGCCATATTCATCATCTTTTCGTTGATCTTGGCTGTTGTTCTTTATGTCACTCCATTCCAAGTGGTTGCACTCCTCATCGGCCTCTATTTACTTCGCCATCCGCGCTTCAGGAGCAGGCTCCCGTCGGTTCCAGTCAACTTCTTCAAGAGGTTGCCATCCAAATCTGATCAACTGTTGTAAAGGGAGAAGATTGTAATTGCATATCCAATCTCTCTTAGACTCTTAGTGTATTATTCTACTGTTGTAACATATGGATGTTGTTCAGTAAATGATGAATGGAATAAGACTGTACGCGGAAGCATAAAAATATTCTCTAGCAGCTATTTTGGGAACCAAAATCGACTTAGATTTGGAACGTAAGGATAAACAAAATGGGACGTGGGTGTCATTTTATTTAGTTATTTTTCATTGATTCCACCGCATTGTCTTTTGATAATTGTTTAAATTTAATATTCATGTAATATACTTGGAATTTTTATACTATTCACACAAGACTATGATTTTCTACTAATATATATAGTCAAACAATTACGTATAAAATGTTAATAAATTTTTATTAATGTAAATTTCAATAATATTAACTTTTTATCAAGTTAATTAATACGTAATTAAATATAATTACAGTGAGAGTTGTATGTTGGTAAACGTGAAAGTCAAACCGTAGCAATTTTAAAAAACGGAGGATAGTATTATGGAGTATTAAATACCACGTAATCGATTACTCCCTAATAAATTGTGGTGTTCTAGGCAATGTTCTAGCGTTGTGAGATGTGATAAGTAGGGGTGCACCCGGTTGGCGGCCTGGACCGGAAGGGGCCCCCACTGTGCGGGACTGAACATGGTCCGGTTTTCTAGTTTTGGGGTTGGATTGGGTACCCGACCGGATTCTGGGTGATCTTAGGCTTGAGTAAGGGGTTAGGGGACCGGACCTGGCGGTCTCGATTCTTGTCCCAACAATAAAAAATTTTTGTTTTTTAAAAGTCAAGGGTGGGGAACTAGCCATTTAATAACTATAGGGTATATTCTATGGTACCCATAAGGTATCATACATTTGTCCACATGGATCAATGAAAATATAGCAGTTGAGTTATTTAAATCTAAATTAGAAATGATAAAGTGATGTGGTCCAATCAAATGAATGATAGGTACGGTACTCCATTTTTTAGAAAGGTACCGGAGTTGTCACCTAACTATAGAGCGTGGTGGAGGGGATTGGATGTAGGGGGCCACAACTTTTTCTATAAATACCTAACTATTTTATTCATTTTTTTCTACAATTATACTTCTACTCAATCTATTTACTCTCAAATTCTCAATGGGTCCGAGGAACCGAAAACTGAATCGAAATAACCTGAACCGCAAGTCCGCAACCAAAACAACTGAACCGCAATAAACCGAAACCGAACTCAAAAAACCGAACCAAACCGTAGTTGTTTGGTTTCGGTTTCGGTTTTCACATCTCATAACCAAACCGAACCAAATAAACTGAATTTTTAAAACTTGTTATTTTATTTATTAATCATTATGTAAAATTAATGTTTGATACTAGATTTATTATGATTTGCAAGATATTGACATTTAATATTTATTGTTTAATTAAGTGAAACACTTGTACATACACTTAAGTCTATTGTTATAATACTAATATGTTGATATTTTAAATCGTAATTTATATTTTTTTTGTGCATGACAATGATATTTTGTTGATATATTATATGTTATGTTGTTTGTTATCACATAAGTAGTAATTTTGTATATTGAGCAAATATGTATTAATATAAACTTTGCTTTAAACAACATAGCAGAAAACGTGAAACTTTAGAGTATAAATATCCTTGTACAAAAAGAAAGTAGAATAAGTTATTTACTAATAAAATTTTAACTTGCAAATACACTGTATATAATTCACAAATAAACTCATGCGTTTAATTAATTTAGAAAATGTTTAAATTGGTATACACGTGCTCTCTAGTTCATTGTTTGGAAGTGCATTTGTTTCTTCTCTCTTTTTTAAGTATGTATGTTTTTGTATTGTATTACTATTAATAATAGTTTGATGTAGTTTATTTTTTTGTTTTTGTTTTCCGATTACTACTTTTCTAATCAACAAAAATATATTAGTAAAAACCGAAAACCCGAAACCGAATCGAAATGAACCGAATCAAACAAACCGTGGTTCCATATTTTTGAGCATAAAACCGAACCAATTTTTTTACTTTGATTCAGCATTTGGTTTTAGATGAAAATCGAACCGTTTCAACCGAACCCCCCCCCCCCCCCCCCCCCCAATCTCTAATCCTACATTATTCACATTTACACTTTCATATTTAATAGGGAGAACTATCAAATAAGCCATCGAACTTTCATAAAAAATGCAAATAAGCCCTTTTATAAGAGGCTCTGTCCGACCATCGCCATTTGGGGCGGTTTTCGGTGGTATTTTTTGATGAAATTCTTTGAGTATCTTCTTCATTAAGTATAGTTTACTCATACCAAATTTTAGCTAAAAATTCAATCGGGAGGCAGTCAAATGAATTTTTTAAGATAACTGCGCAGTTAGACAGCGCAATATATTTCAGAAAATCATTTGACTGCCTTCTCGATTGATTTTTTAGCTGAAATTTGCTACGGGTAAACTAGACTTAATGAAGAAGACACTCAAAAAAACTAATCAAAAAATTCCACCGGAAATCGTCCCAAATGGCGACAGCCGGACAAACCTCCTGTAAAAGGGATAATTTACACTTTTTATGAAAGTTCGAGGGCTTATTTGATAGTTCTCCCTATTTAATATATTCATACTCATAGACTTTCATATTTAATATATTCATTTTATAATTATTTATAATCTCTAATCCTACATTTCTACTCCTACCTAGCCATCTTTAATATAATCATATTACAATTATATTTATATAGTTAATTAGTTCCTACATTTTTAATATCCTATATAGTTTGTAGTGTATACATTTGATAGAGTATATCTCTTAGATTCTAGAGAGAAGTGAGAGCTAGAGAGAGAAGTGCAGTAATATGCTTCAATAGAATGAATTTGTAACCCCTATAACTACTCCCAAGGGGAGTATTTATAGAGAAAATTAGGGTTGGGCTCCCAAGCCTTGGGCTTGGGAGGCCCATTTACAACTGGACCGCTACTGGGCCGAATACAAAGCCTCTAATGGGCTGTACAAATGAGTAAGTATAGAATCCGATTCTGGGAGGTCTTCGTGGCCGACGAGGGCGTGGCCGACGAGGGCACGGCCGACGAGGGCGCGGCCGACGAGGGCACCCGAGTCCCTTAAACTCAGGACCGTAATCTGAGTTGGCCCCTTTTCGGCCGACGGGGGCGTCTTGGCCGACGAGGGTGCCACTCTGTTGTCTTGTGCTCTATTCTTCCGGGTATGTGGGTCCTGGGGCTCAGACCCATATACTCCATCAGGAGTCCCCCACTCTCTAAGCTGAGACGTAGACGAAGTGAAGGAGAGTAGATTTCTGTGTTTTGTTGCTTTTGGCCGACGCGAGTATTTCCAGGCCGTTAGCCGTTGCGGCGTTGGCGTTGTTTCCTCTTTGGTGATCCTGTTCCTCGCTGTGGGCGGGGAGGCCGTTGTTTCCTTAATTTGTTTTGGGACGATGAGTGTCCTTCTTTCAATGGTGGACGTTGAAGGCGCGCTTTCCCTTTCCTGGACGTTGGTGGTTGAGGTTCATGTTTGGGCATGTGTAGCCGTTGAGGTTGTTCCTTGCTTTGAAGACGATGGCCTCGTTTCCTTTGTGTGGCCGATGAGGGTGTTTGCGCACTCCTTTTGGCCGTTGCTGGTTGGCCTTCGTGTTTTTGGCCGAAGGGCCCGTCAAGATTATCTGTTGGCAGAGGACGATGAGTGTCCTTGCCTCTAGTGGCTTGTTGGCCGATGAAGTTCCGTTGTGCTGTATGGATGATGTGGCCATGTTTTGTGGTTACCTTGTTCGCACTGTTTTGTTTTGTTGAGGCCGGTGTAGTCCCCCAGTCCCCCACTGCTTCAGGCCGAAGAGTGTGAGGGGTGAAGGAGTTGCTTGAGTCCCTGGCCGAAGCGGTCTCGCCGTAGTCCCCCTGAATCCAACTCTCATGGCGATTTTCTGGCCAAGGTAACCCTGTGGGAGAACCCTTGTGCGCAGATCGCTTGTAGAGAGTTATCATCAAGGGTTATTACGGGGAGCCGAAGGCTGTGGGCTATTTGTCCCCTTTGTTCTGTGGCCATTACGTTCCTGGCCGTTGCCATCCGTTTATTGTTTGGCATGTGATCTTGGTGAGCAAGTGGGACGTTGTGGGTGCTTGCTGGAAGTTGTAAAGCCGCTGAGCGTGTGTAGGCCGTAGGGTCTGATTTGCCGGTGGGCCGTTGATATGGGTTGGTCCTGGCCCGTTGGTGACGTGGTGCCCCCCCAGTGGTGGCCGTTGATGTGGCCATTGGGGGAGTGCCACGTGTAGTGACCGTTGGTGGGGGGGTCTATAAATACCCCTTCCCCTCCGACGAAGAATCACATTTGCATTCTGAATTTGTCGAAGTGCTGGCCGATTTTCTAGAGAGAGAAACTCCCAAGCCTGTTCTTCGTGTTCTTCGTTGTTTGAGGTTAGTGTTCATCACGATCTTCCTCACTTTTCATATTTTGCTCCGTAAGTAGTTGATCTAGTGTTAGGCGTTTAAACACCTTTAGATCGTAAGTTCTCCGTAAGCCCGTAGTAGTAGTAATGAAGAGCTTGAACGACGACTACTACCCCTACGACGACCAGCCCTCCACGAGGTCGCTTGACTACGAGGTGCTCGAGGAGTTTGAGGAGGAGATAGAGCGTTTAAGTCCATACAAATCCGCGGAGCTGATGGACGAGGGAGGCGAGGACGAGGAGTCCGCCTCTTCTTCAAGAGGTGAGGACGTAGGTGCGTCCCGAGTGGTGGACGGGGCATCCACTTCTGCTGTCATTCCGTGCCCGAGGCCGGTGTCCGCCGTTAAGGGAGCCGCCAAGCCGAAGAGAGTGAGGAGGCCGAAGAGTGGGCCCGGCGTCTCCTACTTGGATCTCACCAACATCTACCTGATAAAGCCGGAGAGCAGTGCGGCCGACTATCTGGTTGCCCAGATGTACGTGGGGCCGTTCGGGCGGGTTAGGGCGCCCAAGCCGACGGACCATGTTCTTCTTCCACCACCGGGATACTTTGGAGTATACCCGATGAGTTTTGCTAAGGGGTTGAGGTTTCCTCTTCACCCTTTCATTACTGAGTACCTGGACATGGTAGGGCTTCCTCCGGCCTTGCTGACGCCGAACAGCTACTCCTTGATGGTGGGGTTCTTGCTCCGGTGTGAGGAGTTGGGCTACAAGCCGACGACGGCATTATTTATGAATCTGTACCAGATAGGCCGAGGAAGCCACAAGAACTGTGCGGCCTACGCTACTCTTCAGCAGCTGCCGAAGAAGAGGAGCTTCACGGATTTGCCTACGTCCATTCATGGGTGGAAGAGCAAGTTCGTGTTTGTGTCCACTGGTGAGAGTGGCACCGAGTTTCCTCCCTCGGCCACACCGGGAGATTTAATCTGCATGACCCGCCGAAGAGCTCTATTTTGGACGCTCAGGTGGAGGCTTTCCTGGAGGGGGGGCCGAGGAGCGTGAAAGATTACATCACTGAGTACAAGATGGCCGCCCTCGGCTCCGTGAGGTACTATGTTTATGGTGACAAGGAGGATGACCTCCAACTCTGGCTGAGGATGACCACCACCTTTGAGGAGGCCGACGGCCCGGACTTGGGCATTCCTGCTGAGGCCGATGGTAATTCTTTCTTCGGCTTTCTTGTCTTTATGTTGTGTCCTTTGCCTTACTAATCTGTTTGTGCTTTTCCCTTGTAGATTTTATCATGGACCGCCGTTCCATGATGGCTATTGCAAAGGCCAAAGCGGCTGAGGAGATTGCTGCTAAGGCGGCCGAAGCGGCCCGCCGTGCCGCTGCTGGTGGGAGCGGGGCTACTGCTGACGCGGCCCCAAAGCCTGCCCCGTCCAAGAAAAAGAGACCGGCCACTGACGGCCAGAAAAAGTTGACCGAGGCCGGCGTGAGCGTCTCTAAGAAGACGAAGAGGGCTCCTTCCCCTTCTCCGGCTAGTGAGGCCGGTACGCTTACTGTCCCCAGCGTGGGCGATGGTGGTCCCATCGTGGACCTTACTGTTGCTGGCGATGCCGCCCCAGCGCTTCCTCTCGTCCAGGAACCACGGACGCAGAGGGCCGGCAAGGAGATCGCCGGTGCCACCTATCAGAAAGTGATAGAGTACCCCGTCGGCGGGGGCGTGTTTAATGAGCTCGTCCCCGGCCACGTCGTCCTGGCCAAGGCTATGCCGGCCAAAGATCGGGCTCATTTGAAGAAGCTCGAGGACCCGAAGATTTATGAGGGCGGCATGGATCTTCTCGTCCAAGTAAGTGATTGTCTTTATATTCTTGTCTCTCTTCGTCTATGTAGAGTTTTTGCCTGACCTTTGTTTTTCTTATGCAGAGTGCCTTCATGCTTATGGAAAGCCATAAGAGGCAGTACTGGGAGATAGTCCGCCTGCAAGCGCTGGAGCAGAAGGCTGCCTCGGCCGACGAGGCGGTAGCTTGCCTTGACCGGCTCCGAGAGGATGCCAAGGCGCTGCAGGCCAAAGCTGATGAGGCCGTCGCGGCCAGGGACGTTGCCCTGGTCAAGCTCGAAGAGAGCAAAAGGGAGCTCGCGGAGTCCCATAGGGCACTTGAGGCCGAGAAGCGCAGGAGCGAGGAGGCTGCCAAGGCGAAGGCTGAGGCCGAGGCCGCCGTCGTGAAGGCTGCCGATGAGGCCGTCGAGAAGTTCTTGGCCGAGGGGTGGAAGGCCGATGAGAGGCTCCCTTGGTGCTACGAAGTGGTGGCCGCCAGGCTGGAGAGTTGGGGGATGAACTCCCCTGCCGGCCGGGAGTATTTCAGCCGGGAGATGTCCGTTTACTACAACCTGGGCCAGGAGCGGATGCAAAGGCTCCTGTGTCGGCGGCTATCCCGGGCGTTGAAGGCCATGAATTACACGTCTGGATGGGCTAGACGGAACCTGAAGCTGCCAAAGCTGATGAAGGATCCCGAAGAGCAGGCCCTGCTTCCGCTGTCGGAGCGGGAGTCCCCCATAGAAAGCTCCGGCTTCGGCGAGCCGGACTACACTGAGTTCGACTTCCTTGATGATGCTACCAGTGCTGCACCTCATGTCGGCCAAGAAGCTGAGGATGAAGAGGGAGCTGATGAGGCCGGTGAGGCGGCCGCAGATGGAGGTGCCCCCGAAGCTTGAGTGGCCATTTTTGTAATTAGCTTTTCAAATTTTTGCCAAGTGATGTAACGGCCGTAGTGCCCCCCAATTGTAATGAAATTTATCAATCGAAGAAATTTTTGCTGTCCTTTTCGGCCTTGAATCCTTTCTGTGCTTGTTTGCTTTGTCATTTCAATTCTATAAATTGTCTAAGTATCAAGTCATAACTTGGGTCACCCGCGAGTGTCCGCTACGTCCGTGAGGTTGACCTTCCCGTCCAGTAGTCTGGTCGGCCTATGCCTCTTTGCTTTACTGTCATAACACTTAGGATTTTGTTTCAAAAAATTTCCCAAGTGTTTTTGGGTCCATGTAGCTCCTGTCTTTACGGCCTAGTGGCTTGATCGGCTTGGACGTAGTTTCATAACACTTAGGAATTTTTCAAAATTTGTCTAAGTGTTTTGGGATCCACTTAGGTGCTTTCCAGGCGTTGGCATCCTTATCGTCCTGGCCTTGGATTCATCCCAGGTGTTTTATCCAGGGCCGTTGTCGGCTTGTATCCCTGTGTCCTGGCCGATAAGGGCACCTTCACCATAGTCTTGTGGACTTTGAATTTTTCACCAGTACACATGTAGAGGTGTAGGTGGTTAACGGCTTTGTAGTATGCTGGTACCCGCTTCGGCTAGAATTCCTTCATTTGAGTACTTAGATAATTTCCTGAGTAGAAATGTCAGGTGTTTACGTCTTTGCGGTGCCCTTGTCGGCTGGCTTGTGGCCGATGAGGGTGCTGGATAAGGAGTAGCTCGTCCAAGGAGATGGTCCTGCCTTCGTCGGCTAGTCATGGTTCCAGTGCCTGCGTCGGCTATCCGAGGTGCGGTGGCAAGTAGAGGTTGCATCTTGATTACTTGATCCTTTCGTGGGTGTGATAAGTGCCCGCTTCGTCCCGGTCATCCTCCGGTTTGCGATGCTTTGTTTCATACCAAGCGTTGGTGCCTCAAAGGACTATGGCCGATGAAGGTCACCTCTCGCGTGTCACCCAACCGATGTGGTTAGGGTTTCATAGGTGTCGTCCATGCTGCCTGTCAGTGGTACTAAACTTGTGTTCAACTGATATGTACTTGGCCAAAATGGGCCTGAATTGTGGGGATTTTATTTTTTCATTGCTCGAGGCCGGCAAGTGTGCACGGCCGTCGGCTTCCCTCTTTTTCCCTTATATATATTTTGTTTGTTTTTTTTTTTTTCGTTTCGGGGGGTATCCTTCTTTCAGGCTTCGGTCGAAGGGTGTGCTCGTCCTTCAGCCGGTTCGGACTTCGTTTATAACGTCCGTGATCTCAGGGCGGGTCCCGTCGCCTATTTATGACGCGGGCTAGACTTTTGGTCGGTTTCCAACGGCTGTCGTTGCCCATCTCTGAGTTTTGGGATTTTGTCACCTCGGCCATGATTTCAGGCCTGTCGTCCTGCGTTCCGGCGCGTGGACGACGCGGTGAGCTTCCCGTTTCAAGACGTGGGCCGTTTGCGGGCCCTTCGTCCTGGGGACATCGTCGGCCATACCTGAGTGTTTCACTTCTAGGCTTTCGGGGCCAGGACGATGTGCTCTCTCAGCTAGGCCTGAGCCCTTCGCTGATACAAAATGCAATGGAGTGCCTGAGCTTGTCGCTCGTAGGCTGCAAATGCAAGGGGCCATGTCGGCCTGAGCACCTGCTAATGTTTTACTTTGAATTTCCGGAGAAAATAAAATCAGAACATGATTTTATTCATAAGTGGCTCGAGGCCGAGGGTGGCGTTCAATCAGTAACCCGTTAAGGGGTGAGGGCTTCGCCGTCTGCACCTCCTTCGGATTACTGATAAAACTTCACCAAATGGTGTACATTCCATGTTCGTGATACATTGGACCCATTCGGGCGTTTAAGCTTGTAGGTGCCGGGTTTGACCACGGCACTGACGATGTAGGGCCCTTCGTACTTCAATGCTAGTTTGCCACCCTCTGTCGGCTGGCTTGCTTCCCTTCGGCGGAGGACGTAGTCCCCCACCTTAAATTCCCGGGAACGTACCTTGGCGTCATAGTATGATTTCACTTGACGCCGGTAGTTCTCTGCTCGGACGTAAGCTTGCTCACGCCTCTCATCAACCAGGTGCAGGTCAATCTTCATGTTCTCTTCGTTGGTGTCAGGCTCATATTGCTCCACTCGTCGGCTGGGGATGGCTACCTCCGTGGGCGCCTTCGCCTCAAAGCCGTAGCACAGGGCGAAAGGTGTTTCACATGTCGCCCTCCTCGGCGTGGTTCTGTAGCACCACAGGATGTTGGGGAGCTCGTCGACCCAACTACCTCCTGCGGCCTGGAGGTTCTTCTTCAGCCCCTCCATTATTGTTCTGTTGGCGTTCTCGACCTGCCCATTGCCCTGAGGATAGGCAACGGAGGAGAAACGGTGCCTCACTCCAAACTCCCGGAGGAGCTCCTGGAAAGGGGCTGCCTCGAATTGGGTGCCGTTGTCTGATATAATCTCCTGGGGGACGCCAAAGCGTGTGATGATGTTCTTGTAAACAAATTTCTGGCATCTGGCCCCCGTGATGCTGGCCAAGGGCTCCGCCTCGACCCACTTGGTGAAGTAGTCGATGGCGACGATGATGTAGCGGTTGTTCCCGGCGGCTCTGGGTAGGGGACCGACCAGGTCAATCCCCCATCTGGAGAATGGAATTGCGGTGCTGACAGGGGCATAATTGATAGCTGGTGGACCAGGGGCCTTCTGGAGCACCTGGCATGTGGTGCACTTCCTGGCCAGGTCAGCGCAGTCGCGCGCCATCGTCGGCCAGAAGAAACCCTGGACGACGAGACGCCGGGACATGCTGAAAGGGCCCTGGTGTGAGGAGCAGACGCCACAATGAACTTCTTCCATGGCGGTGTCGGTCTCGTCCTGGTGCAGGCACCGGAGGAGGGTGCCATTATAGGACCGTTTGTAGAGTTTGACGTCTTCGATGGTGTAGCTTGGGGCCCTGAGTTTGGCGAGTTTGGCCCTCTCCTCGTCCGGAGGCAGCTCCCCCGTTGTGATGAAGGTGGCGATATCGGAGATCCAGTCCTCTGGCCGCTGTTGGACGCACAAGACGGGGCTGGCATGGATGCTGGACATGCTCAACTCCTCGATCTTGGCCAATTGGGAGATGTGCTCCGGGGTGTCCGAGCTGAGCTTGGAGAGGATGTCGGCTTCAGCGTTCTCGGCCCTAGGGATCTGAGTGATCTCGTGGGTTTCAAACGCTTTCAGTAACTCCTCCGCCGCTTGTTTGTACTGCTTCATCCGGCCTTCCTTTGCTTCGTACGATCCCTCCACCTGGCCCACTACCAGTTTGGAATCGCACTTAATTCTGAGGTGCTTGGCCTTGAGACCGGCGGCGAGTCGGAGACCGCTGAGGAGGGCCTCATACTCGGCTTCGTTGTTGGATACCCTGAAGTTGAAGCGGATGACATAGTAGGCTCTGAATCCTTCAGGGGATATGAGGACGACGACGCCGCCGCATGATTTCGCGGCCGACGAGCCGTCAGTGAACAGGGTCCACGTGTCGTCCGGCTCCGGCTCGGGGTTGGCGACGGCCGTCTCCCTTGCTGTGCATTCGATGACGAAGTCGGCCAGGGCTTGCCCTTTGATAGATGGCCTTGGCTTGATCTCAATCTGAAACAGGCTGAGGAAGATCGCCCATTTCACCATCCTCGAGGAGCTAGTGGGGCTCCTCATGAGCGCGCCAAGAGGCTGTTGGGTCAGCACGTGGACGGTGTGGGCTTGGAAATAGTGCCCCAGCTTCTTCACGGTGTGGACGATGGCCAGCACCGTCTTCTCAATGGAGGAGTACCTGAGCTCGGCCTCCCTGAGTGTCTTGCTGATGTAGAAGATGGCCTTCTGCACCCCTTCGTCCTCACGGATGAGCACGAAGCTGATGGCCGACGTGCTCACCCCTAAGTACAAGAAGAGGGTTTCGCTGGCTTTGGGCTTGGAGAGTACGGGTGGGGACGACAGGTACCTTTTCAATTCGTCGAATGCTTCCTGGCACTCCGTCGTCCACTTGAAGCTGTTTGCCTTGCGCATGATCTGGAAGAAGGGAAGTGCCCTCTCAGCTGACCTGGAGAGGAACCGATTCAAGGCCGCCAGGCGCCCCGTCAGTCGTTGTACCTCCTTGACGTTTCGGGGCGGCTCCATGCTGATGATAGCCTGCGTCTTCTCCGGGTTTATCTCGATGCCTCTTCGGCTGACCATGTAGCCAAGGAACTTGCCGCCCTGGACGCCGAAGGCGCACTTCTTGGGGTTAAGGCGGAGCCTGAACTCCTTCATGATTTCAAAGATTTCCCGGAGGTCGTCGGCGTGGGAGGTGGCCTGCCTGCTCTTGATGATCATGTCGTCGACGTACGCCTCCATCGTCCGGCCAAGGACCGCTCTGAAGATTTTGGCCACCATCCTAGTATAGGTGGCGCCGGAGTTTTTGAGTCCGAAGGCCATGACGAGGTAGCAAAATATTCCCTCTGGGGTCATGAATGTCGTCTTCTCAGCGTCATCTCCGTGCATGGAGATTTGGTGGTACCCTCTGAAGGCGTCAAGGAACGACATCAACTCGCACCCCGCCGTCTCGTCCACCAACTGATCGATGTTGGGGAGAGGGAACGGGTCCATGGGGCACGCCTTGTTCAGGTCAGTGTAGTCAACACACATTCTGAACGTCGGCGGTTTCTGTGCGAGGACGACGTTGGCCAACCATGTTGGGTACTTCACCTCTTTGATATGTTTGATCGATAGGAGCATGGCGACCTCCCCTTTGACGAAGTCCCGCCTGTCGGCGGACAAGTAGCGCCGCTTCTGTTTGACGGGCGCGGAGGCCGGATCGACGGTCAGCCGGTGAGTGATCACCTGGCGGCTGATGCCGGGCATATCGTCCGGGCCCCACGCGAAGACAACGGCGTATGACCGTAGGACGAGGAGGATGGCGTCTCGCTGGTCCTGGGGGAGTTGCTTTCCGACCCTGAGAACCCGCTCCGGCCGGGAGGTATCCAGAGGGATTTCCTCGACCTCCTCGGCCGGCTCCGCATGTGGCCTCTCCTCGTCCATGGCGACGGCGGCCGTGATGGTGTCTATCCGCTGTCCTTCCCTTTCGGCCGGCCTCGTCAGC